TAAAAAAAAAAACAACAGATTTTCATAGTGAGAATTTTGAAGGAATGGAGATTGTGCTTTGAAGCATTAGTTAAAATGTGTTAGTTTTAATGCTTGCTCACATTTTCAGTGACTGTTTTCACACAGGAGAATTTTCTGAGGAAGTTCTGACATCACGCCCTTTTTCTTGCTACTTTTCAACTCCCATAACTCAGGAACTGAATTGGATACTCATGGGTGAAGCAGTTCATGTCTGCCCACCATAATAGTGTAATTTTTCTGTTCTGCCACATTGAAAGGGCGTATGCAGATTTTTGTGAATAGTATTGACTGTTTAGCCACCAAAATAAACCAGTTGCCTAATGTTGTGTTTATCCTCCTTGTTCCACCTTCCAAAGCTGTAAATAGTTTCTGAGTCCTGTAGTTTTCTCTTGTCTTGTTGCATGTAGTGGGGCTCACACTTTGAGATGGGGTGAGGAGTTGTGCAATTTGTAAAAGGCTCAGCTCCTCTGTGTGAAAAGATGCTTCCTGGATGTGTCCCAGGAGAGTTGTTCTGGTTTTTTTACTGGAAAAAAAACCCCATAGGGGCAGTAGAAGAAGGGTGGATGGAAATCAAACAAAAGCCAGAATCACTATGTGGCATGAAGGTTGTTTTACTTAAAAATTGGCACATTTTGTAATACAATAAAGATGAAGCTACAATGAACATAGAAGTTAATGAATGTTGATGACATACTGTAATGATGACAATAATTAACATGCAATTGTATCGTCCTAATATTATGGACTACATCTAAAACAAACAAATTATGGAAAATGAAATATATTTTATTTTTAGATTGTAACAGTATCACTTAAAAGTAAAGAAAAAAATCAATTGACCTATACTGTACAAAAAATAAAAAGCTTCTGAAAAGCACTTGTATATAATATATAAAAATATATATGACATATATATCACTAATTCAGCCTATCTATGATTACAATAGCACTAGTAAATGGTTGGTAAGTGCTGTGTCAGTTGCAAAAGAGAAATACATTGATTTTTTAAAAAATAATTTCCTGAGTATGGCTACTAACCACTGAGTTACTATTGACCTTTTAAAATCTCAGTTTTTGTGTCCAATCCCTATAGAAGCTTGTTTCCACCAGTAAAAAAAAAAGTTATCCATAAGTTACATTTCCAGGCTGTCTCAAAAATTTGGCTTGCTCAGAAGTTTGAGCCAGTGACTTGAAATTTTGAGATAATAACCCAGATATTTGACTTGCCTCTGGGCAAATTTATTATTATTATTTTCATACAAGCGCTGCTGCATGCCTCAGTGTGAGGGAAGCACAGATCATCCCGAGTAGAATAAATAACTGGTTTCCTGCATGTTTGCACAGACGTTTGTTCTGTAGTTACCTAGTTATTAGTCTCTGATCAGGGAATGTGACCTGAACTGAGAAATATGGTAAAAAAAAAAAAAATCTGATGCCTGAAACACGTCAACTGGGCTGTAGTTAGCAAACAAAGCACAAACTGACAAATTATTATAACTCATTTTAAACCATCCAATAATGAGGTGTCTTGAGCTTGGTAGTCAGCCAAAGTGCTGTATGTAACATCTTCTGCGCCTCTTTCGGTCTGTGGGAGAACAGAAGCAAAGATGAGAGTTAGGCAGAATGAGTAAAGATGAGCTAGACCAGAGGATACTGCAACATCAGCTCTTGGAATGCATGCTTAAGTAAGCATGTGATGCTTAAGCTAAAGAGAGAACTATACAGTGTTTATATGTTATGGTCACTTTATTTACCATCTAAATTCAGCATTCATACATGCCAGCATTTGTTAACACTAAACAGCTGATGGCAATGCAAATGCTTTTGCCAGCCCTGATCACAAATTACTAAAAAGGTTTAATCTGATCTAGATGAAAAGAGGAATTATTACCTTTTAGGCTACAGAGAAAAGTATTCAGTCATCTAACTATTTAATATTTCAGTCTAAACAAACAGAACAATAACACTCGCTTATGAATGACTTTTAGTGCAACTGATAAACAAGCGAGTGTCTGCATTCTTTAAGCTTTGATCCTTTTCACAGTAGTGCTACTGATATAGCACTGAAGATTTAGAGTTGAACGTGTTGCTAATATTTACAGTATTTGGTCTGAATTAAAGCAGTGGTCTAGCCACCAGACACACTAAGACTGAGCCATGCTGTTTGTGTGGTGACGATGTAAAAAAAGAACATAAGTTTTAATGTCTGAGAAACATTGTGATACGGAGCTCTTATAACGCACCCTTTGTGTGGTTTGTTGAGTCATAGTAAACACAGAGCTGTATGTCACATCCACATCGCATTTAGCAGTGAAACTCTGAGAAAGAAAGAAGAGACAGATATGAAACAGATCAAAACAGACTTTAAACCTTTTTTATCCAATTACAAGCACGTGTAGTAAAATAAATTACTTGCGTGTAACATTATGTTTGTGAATGTTTATGGCTGTCACTTCTGAACTTTTCTTACATACACTGTTCACTGTATCTTAGTCCCTCTGATAACTGATATCAATATAACATTTTAAAGAGGAACTTTTTTTAACAGTGTGCACTAGACCAAATGTGGCAATTTACTAAGGTTGAGACACTTCACATGAATAGTTCCCTTTCAAGGGGAATATGTGGACTAAGAAGTTAGAGTATGAGATAAGATGTTTTCTCCTTAAAGTTTATTAGCACTTTAAGACTTCCTATCACATTCAAATATTAAATATACATAAATTTGATGGAAGATATGTATTCTTTTAAAAAATGGAATATAAAATGTGTTTTACCCAATACAGCTATTAGATGTGTTTTCTTTGTATATCCTTTTTCAAGGGGCAACATCTGTGAATATTTATCAGTCCTATGATCTTTAATAATTATTGGACAAAATCTCCAAACAGAACATACAAGTTTCTTTAACGTTATTAGTAAGTATATCACACATGGAAGCAGAGCAACAGTAAAGTGTAATGTTATTTTTAAATTTACACTCCATACTCTAGCTGGTGTGAAACACATGAAAATTTTGTTTTCCACTTTGCTTTACAGTGCCAGTAACAACCGTTAACCACAGCTCTTTATTGCAGCAGGATTGGATATAGTCCTTTCCTCTATGTTTGTCACATTTATGTTTCACTTCTGCATCTGCTGCTGTAAATGGGATTCTCCTCAATCTGTAAGTGTTCATGTTTTGTAACTAGGGAACCAAATTTGTTTTCTATGTGTAACAGACGTATACACTTCCCCGTGAGCCTGTGTCCAAAAGAGAAACCGTAATGCAACAGATATCCATTATTAAGGAAGTTATTTACATGATATGATTACCATTTATTCATGTGCTGCAGCTGTATTGCACCACTGCATCTACAAAGAGTACTTGGCTTTTCTTACCAGATTATTCTTGTTCTTAAATAATGAAAAATTAGTTAGAAAAAAATGAATTCATAATGAATTAGCATCACATACCAGTGCCGTCCCTGATGATTCTCTTTTGGTCCATTCTGAAAGAGAAACAAGAATTTACTCTCAAAGCGCGACTGCAGTGTCATCAACATTTAACGTTAAATTATGTAAGAAGAACGAACTGGTTTCATCAACGGTGAGCGCAAACTTACTGGATCTTTTGAGCAAAAACCAAATGACCAAGCTCACTGTTACAAAGAAGATCAACAAAGTCAAAGAGATGATGAGAATTGTTAGGGAACCACTGTGGAATAAAAACAAACAATTATCATTTCCATAGGTCAAAGTTTTCACATTATGGCAATAAATACATAGCGTGTAACCACAGTTGTATAGCTAGTGCATGTCAGTGCAGTCCTTTTGACCTTGGTTGCTCATCCTGATCTTTAGTACTTGTTTTATCTGGGAAAGACAATGAATCAATAAACAAAAAAACTGTGAGATTCAGTAAGGAATGACTGAGGCTACGAGCAAGAACAAACTGAATAATATTTTCTAATATCACATCAAAGCATTGCTAATCATGATGCATGTGGAATATTCATACAAACATATTTCAGGTTCAGAGTTGTTGTACTTACTGGGTATGAAAGCTTCATTCACAGTTAAATGCACTGGCACCTGGAGGTCTCCTTTATAACATAAGTACCAGCCGCTGCTCTTTGTGGTCACTCGACTCATGGTGACAGTGAAAACATTGTGGGCACTTTCATTAATGCTCACTCTTGTTCCATCTATTGATCCAGTTGGCTGTGTTACACACTCGCTGCCCAACTTGCACCACTTTATTTTCCCAGTTTGTGTACTGTAAAACTTGATGGTGATGTTTCCTCCATCAAACCCCGTAATATCCTGATGATCCACATAGAAACTGGGTGGACCTTGATGGAGAACAAGTAGTAAGTTGTTACTAGTCTTCTACTTTACATTTATAGCTTCTTGAGCATTTTTTAAAAACATGTTTATCATGACTGACATAATGATTCTAATATTACAACCAAGTCTTTCCTAATATTTTGGCTTATTTGAAATGTACTTGAATGTACTTATGGATTCTTACCCCTGGTGACAGACAGATGAAAATAGAC